CTTGGTTGTGGCTACAAATCACCCTGTAGATCATTTATATGCAAACAGCTGATATCTCAACTATGGGCGCAGTTCGGCGTGGCATTTCTTTCCTGCTTTCAAGGCTCACTACATTCTGTGGAGATCTGTAAATTTTTGTGAACGGCATGGACTCGCTTCCACCTGAAAGGAGCTCGTTGATCTCACCATGGCGAGATGTGTAAATCAACAGGATTTAGCAAGCGGAAATGCTAGATGATTTCCTTCTCACCCCCTCCCCCTCCACCATCCAAGCCACACAGCTCCCAACCACGCCCCAAATTTTTAGGACGTCCTTCTGTCATCGAAATTAACAATTTTTAAATACGTTTAACTGCCGCCCCTTCAACATGGCTAGCTGAAACTTCACTGTCATTGCCTTGAGAAATGGAGATCGCTTGTTGTCTGGTTTTTATGAGCACTTATAGAGTGGAACAGCAAATCTCAGCTTATACCGTACAATTATTGTAGCTTTAGCGGATCAGCGCATGGCTAATCTTTTCGAAATGACTTGACTTGAAATTGAGCCGTAAATAAGGGCCGACTCGATATACCAGTGGTGTCGGCTGTTGCGCGTGAATGCACACCACCGCAGTTCTCGTCTGGTGTTCATCATTTGCTGTCTTCTTTGCTGTATTCACACTTCTCAACTATTCATCTCACATTTACTACGAAATCACTGAATTGGCTGATTACATAGCTATTGAGATCAAATCTTTCAAGGTACTAAACGTTCATAATATTGTTTGCTATGCAAAAAAAGGTGCGCTTCACGAAGATACCGACAAGAAGTTCCTTGAAGGCATAAGCTGCGGTAAATCTTGTCCGAAAAATAGTAGCAGAAGTGCTGTCTAGGGGAAAGGTGACGAAAAAGAAAAGGTAATCCTGCGGGAAAACCTTTGTTCTGCTCGGCATTATACGAGCATTTCTGGACGAGTTTCGTTTTGGCATCGTGCCAACAACCTTTCATAGATGCGTTTGCACTTGTGTATTCCTATGTCCATGTAGCTTTGTATCAAATGTACTTCATAAAGGAAGCGATAAGAGTTCCAGCGTCGATGTGACTGCACTGTGGGCGGGCGGTTGCGATGGGCGTCTGGGTAGGCATGTTGTTGTTGTGTTGTGCATGTTTGGTTAGGCGCTACAAGGACTCCATGCACTGTCCGCTAATATGCACAGTACTGCTTCGTGGTAGGTGTATCGACCCTATTGCCTTGTTGATTTATCGTGCCACTTGTCTTCGAGGTGCTCCAAAGATCGTGCCGTTTTTAAACACCGTGCCAGACGTTTATTTGCCGCATAGAGCTATGTGTGCTACGCAAGATGTATGAAGTGAAGTTGATATCGTACAGTCGCCGTCAGGCGGGGCGATGTCAGATGGGATGGAATGAGCCCACCGTTGTCGTTCTATACGCCTAGTTGGTTTCTGTCAGAATCGGCTTTATTGGAGGGAACTAACAAAAGTGGACCCATTCAATCCCATCTGACACCGCCCCACAGGATTGAGACGGCATCAACCATGTGTAACCCACAGTCGGCCCATCGTACAACGCAGCTACTGCTTTCATAGTGAAAAAGGTAAATGAAGTTTGCCGCATTTACCACTGCTTGGTATACGAATTTTGACCGAGGTACAAAGTTGTTGGAGACACACATGACACAGGTGAGTTATTATAGTACCTGATCTTCTCCAGAGTGCAGCATTAAAACGGCCCCATCGCTCAAACCTAAGTGATTCTACCTGGGGATACCTCGTTTAGGAAAACCATCTTGCTACTCTTCCTCTACGAAGCCAACTTGTAGGAATCCACCAGTTCTGTAGCAATGAAACTCGACTCCTGTAAAAACATGACTGACACGGGTTCCACTCAATCGAAATGGTATTAAAAATGCGCCAAAAGCTTCCTTATAAGTTGTCGATATCCAAAAGGTGTGTGGGGTATCCTCTGGAATTTTTCTTTCAGTCCCGGTGGTCGTATTTGCAGATCGGTACCGAACACAGCAGCAACATGGATTGCATCGAGCACATGGTGCATCCCATGGAAACGTTGATCAGTACCTCTGTGTTGCAGTGCACCACATGAGAAGGTCTACGGAGAACCTACCGAGCTTTCTAGATGATGATGCGGGCCTTCTTGGGCAGAACCTCATACTGCAGCTAAAACTGACTTTTAGAGCGAATTCTGCGAAGGGCAAGTTTTCCCTGAAGTTAGTACAGCAAAATTGTCCTGCTCATTAGAAAGAGGAAACCTTCTAGTTTCAAATTCATGTAGCTCTTCTCTCCTTTGTCGTTATGTCTCTCCCTTGTCGTTATGTCTTACTAGCCAGGGCCTTCGAAAGGGCCTCGGACCACTTACCTCGGCCTCGTACGAATATCCCAATTTTCCGCGACCTGATGCCCTACTCTGCTTCCAAGGCTTCGACGCCCAGGAAGTACTATTTTAGTCAACCATAGAGGCAACAGAAGAAATCCTTCGTCTGAGTCCGCAACTCTGAAGCATGTTCTCTCAATACAGTTCTTCACATCTCAATGATGACACGTTTCGAGATCTTGAAGTTCCTTTGGAGAATTCTACCGCGCCCATTATAGCGCCCTGACCTAGGTCTTCCATCGTTCCTTGTTCTTCTGCAGTCAACTTCGTTAAAAAAACGATCTTCAAGAGGACCTAGGAAATGACCTGCTGCATTTTTCGATATGCAACTGAAGCGCTTCTGTGAGCGAGGCATTCTATTGGGATTCTAGAAAACGGCTGCTCGCTCGCGATAATGCGCCTGCAGTTATTACTCCTTGGACTGCTTGTTCTGTACCTTTATCCTCTGTGCAGCCCAACAGTCATGCTCACAACTACGAACAAGAAACTTCACCGCTTCCTTACACATAGCTAACACATAGCACAGACTTCGGCCCCCACAGGCAAGGCTCTGTTCATACTTTGTAGCAGCGACCAGTAGCGTCCACTAGAGTTCCGAGCGTTCGGCAGATTCAGCGACTACAAAAGTATAAATGTCGATCTAGCTTCCATCAGCGTCTACCAACGTCTGGGAGTGGAGGGTATGGTTCGATAGGAGGGTGGCAGGCAGCTGATAGAGTACAGGGAGATAAGAGGGTAGCAGACTGCTGGTTGGTAGCGCACTCTCTTGGTGAGAGGGTTTGGCTTGAACAAGCTCTAGCATCATTCAACACCCTTAATGACAGAAACATAACTAACTGGGCTAACTAACCCAACCGTTTCAGGCAAGCACCGATCAATCATGGAGCGATCTAATCGACATCCGAGCTGTCCGTGGAAGATGCACCGAAGAAACGTAGTCTCGTATCACAAGATATATTTGCTGAGTTCAGAAATATGCATAAAATTAGAGTGAGTGTATCTACTTCCTGATTACTCATTCTCTCCTACTGTACATTCCATATCCAGAGGATGGGTAAGGCGTGGCTGCGTGCACCATTTATAATGGCATATGATGAATTTTTCATGGGATATTTCCGTTTGAAACGATTGTCATCATGTCTAGCACTGAAAAGTGGCATGATTGCAATTGTCCCAAAACAAAAGAATCAGACAGAAGCCCCATCGCCTTCGCGTTCAAGTGAGGTGCAGTCGTTTTCGCTTCAGCTGGGCGCGTCAGAGAGCTGTGTTTGGCACAACCAGATTTTCACCAATTGTTGAAGCGGACAAGCGACGACAATTGGTGAAAAACAGCCTCGTGCCGCGCCCAACCCCCTGCCCCCCTCCCCCTA